TTGTTCCCCAGCTGTGCCGCAGCCGAGCTACTCCATCCCAAAATCATGCACAAAGAGCTCAGTTCGGATTCGTAATCAAACAGCTCGCTGATTCCTTAGGAACTTGGAGAAATATTTGTATTTTGACTCTTCCAAGATCAGTAACTTTTATATGAAGGAGATTGTTAATTTCAAGAATTTGCAAAGACATTTCAGCATATTAAGAATCCTTCATTTAATACACACAACATGAAACGACACTGCCTGGGTGGGCGGGGGGAGGCGGTAGAACTGCCAGCTTCTCCACCCACGTGCCCTGTAGATACCTGCCCTCTTTCACTACACCGGCCCCATCTGAACCTCCAAAACCAACAGCAGCGGCCAGGGAAACGAAAACCCGAAAGCAAGTTACCACTTTGTCCTTTTATCCCTTTCCCAGATGTTGGTCTGTGACGAAGTATTCGAATACAGTGAGTTCAAATGATGTTAGTCGCAATCATGCCAATGTGTAATCCCCAATCCATTTACATTCCTTGACAGAATTTTAATGAATTATACTCAAACTATAAATAACATTCAGTAACTGTTGTATTTTAATAGAAACACTATTACTGTTCAGATTGATAAGACCCAGACCATTAAAAATATTTTTTTTTGTTAATCCTTAACCGAAGATATTTTTTCCATTGATTTTCAGAGAGAGTAGAAGGGATGAGGAAGGGAGGGAGGGAGAGAGAGACAGAGAGGGGAAGGGAGGGAGGGAGAGAGAGACAGAGGAAGGAAGGGAGAGAGAGATCCTGCATGCAGGGCCGGGAATCAAACCTGCAACCCGGGTATGAGCCCTTGACCAGAAATCGAATCAGTGTTCCAGCCAACGCTCTAACCACTGAGCATACAGGCCAGGGCAAGACCCAGACATTTTAAATCTTATAAATCCTCAATCTTAGCAGAATGCCTCCTTTTATTTGCTAGGAGGCGTTTGTCTACTCCTAACCTTTTTACCTCCAGAAAATAAATGATGCATGTGACTTGAAAATTGAATTAATCTTGACTAAAAAAGGAATAATAAAAACCGTCGATGTCTTCATGATCTCCATAGCAGGCCCACAGGGCAGATACTGGTGCTGTCTCTGTTGCCCGAGATGTATTATATCTTGCTAATCCTCAATAAATATGAAAACTGATCATTTCACAGCTGAGAATTGACAAACCGGAACACATTTCTCATTTGAATAGACAAGATAAGCAGGTTGCCGCCAACGCCGCCATCTCTGCCTTCGGGTGTGTCGTGTCCCAGGCAGACGCTGTCAGTTCATTCTTAGGTCACAGCTATGGCATTTCTGTTTGTCTATTGCTGGGCCCGAGCGCAGGTTCACATTCCGCACGGCCTCCTTCCTGTCTTAAGGACCGTGCTGCTACCTACCTGCTGCTGTAACATAATTTACAGAGAGAGGGGCCTCCAATTAAACCATTCCACGTGTAAATCTCTTGCCCGGAGAACGAACTGAGTAATAAATGGATTCATGAATATAAATTGGGCTTTCTTTGTACTTAAGTTTTCATTTGGAATTGTAGAGTGTGATTCGCTGCCCCCATAAATCTTTATTTGCCTTACGTGTGTTTACTGTGGGAAGCCCAGTGCAGAGCAGGAAGCCCATTGCTATGCATAACTAACTACTGAAGTTCACAAATCATCGGCTGAGGAGGCCTGGGGTGGGAGTCGTGGCCGCCGCCTCTGGTCTCAGCTCCCAGGGGAGATGAAGCCCCTCCCACAGGCTCTGCCCCTGGATTGCGGAGGGAGCAGCCATCCACCTCCTCGCTCTTTTCTCTCCTTGGCTGTTATTTCAAGTGTGCCTCGTCTGCCTTCCAAACATCCTGTTTACGGTGTCTCTTAACATCTCTATTATCTAAGACTTATGTTCTCTTCACCCCAATTTGGGTTTAGAGCTGGCATAATATTGAATCTCTCCCCGGCCTTGATTCATTTTGGAACAGACTCTGTGAACGGAGGGGAGGATTTGATAAGCAAATACATAAATAATAGAAGCAAGTCCCCCGCATCCCCTGCCCGCCTCTCCCCGCTGCCCTCTCCTCACCTCGTCTGCATGGCAGCTGTGTGTATTCGGCCCCGGGTCCATGGACGCCAGCTGGCCTTCACCAACGTGACCAAATTCAAGACAAAAATCTAAGACATTTCTCTCATTGCAACCTGAGCTTTGACTCTTCAGCTGGAAATGAGGCTTTGCTGTATTTGCCGTTACACAGACCTGAGACTGAGTTCACACGACCTGCCCTCTGCTACAGAACGAAATGGTCGGGAAGGCTGTTGGTCAAGGGTTCTACAACCATACCATAAGTTATTTCCCTTCCTATTCGACAGTTCTTGTGACACTGACTTTCATGTGGTCAGGGGTCAAGTAAACATGCGATAGTTAGCAACAGATATATGGATTCGAGTGGAAGACCTAGAGACAATGGGAAATAATAGAAACCATTTTAAAGTATTTTTTCAGTTAATGGTAAAAGCAATTTCTCCAAAGTGCCTCTGCGTAGGAGGCATTCTGGGAGGTAGCGAGGACGGGGACACGGCCTCAGTCACGTTTCTTGTTCCCAAGTCTGATGGCTTTTCCCTATGGCATAAACTGGAACCGTGTTAAGGTATACAGCCCTTGAGCTGATGGTCCTAATCTCACATAGACCTGCAGAGCACATTAAAGGCAGGCTGGCCCTGGCCAGTTTTGCTCAGTGGTTAGAGCATCAGCCTGCGAACCGAAGAGTCGCAGGTTCGATTCTGGTCAAGGGCACGTACCTCAGTTGCGGTTCAGTCCCCGGCCTAGTTGGGGTCATGCGGGAGGCAACCAATCGATGTGTCTCTCACCCATTGATGTTTCTCCCACTCTATCTGAAGTGGAAAAATATCTTAGGGTGAGAATTAAAAAAAAAAAAATTAAAGGCAGGCTGGAACTGTGTACTGTGGGCACAGTGTGGCTGACAGGGTGGTAGTCATGGTATTCTTAATAGGTAGTGATTTTATAACAATTCAAAATAACTCAGTAAATTAGAACTATGAAAATGAAGTGAGGACTATGAATGGAAAACCACGGGACACGTCCCGAATGTCAAAGGGTGACTTTCTAAATTACACACTTGCTCTGCCCATGATTGCGGGCCAAGGTCAGGCCTCCCGAACTTGCTCTGCCTGGAGTTCCAGACAGGCTGCCCCTTGTTTTATGTCTGATGAATCAAGCTGATCTCCTAACTCAGTGGCCCCTTGCAAGCTGTGTTTCCACAATATTCTTCTAAGATGGGTGAAGGTTCTTTTCTGTATGGCCAAGGATAGCAAATATTGTGTTCCCTAAAGACTACTACTATAATTTTATCCTTCCTCACCTGACTCAATATAAAGGTAAAACTCTCACATGCACTCAAAATATAGGTCATCTATTAACAATGCATATCAATTAGGAATTGTTTTTTTACTTCTTGTTCAGTTTGTCCAAAGTAGTTGTAAGACTTAATTGAGTGTTTGTGTTAAGAAAAATCTAAGCTTGCCAAGACCCTCCCTCAGAGAACTGTATTAAGAGAACAGCTGTACTTATTCCCCGGTACTCATCGTGCCTAATAACACAAACTCTGGAAAGACCTGTTTTCTTTTGTTTGTTTTCACTGATTTTTTAGAGAGAGAGAAAGAGATAAAAACATCAATGTGAGAGAAATATCAATTGTCCGCCTCCTGTACCCCCTGTAGGGGATTGAGCCCGCAACCTGGGCATATACCCTGATGGGGAATCAAACCTGGACCTCTCAGTCCATGGGACTACGCTCAGTTCACTGAGCCACACCAGCTGGGCTGGAAGGACCTTGTTTTACAGCAGGAAGCAAATTTGTTTCATTTCTCTCCCACCATAACATTGCACCCAAATCATCACTTTCTTCCTAACATTTATAAGAACAGTCCATAGCCTTCCTTCAAGAACATAAAAACTGCCCTGGCCAGTTTGGCTCAGTGGTTAGAGAGTCAGCCCTAGGACCAAAGAGTCATGGGTTTGATTCCACTCAGGGCATGTACCTTGGTTGTGGTTCGGTTCCAGGCCCTGGTCAAGTTTTGCAGAAGGCAACCAATCGACGTGTCTCTCTCAATCAATGTTTCTCCCCCCCCCCCCCACTCCCTCCAACTCTATCTGAAAAAAAATATCCTGGGTGAGGATTAAAAAAAAAAAGAAGAAGAATATATAAACTACTTGCTGTGGTGATTAGAATAATTAGAACAAATAAATGCTGACCCACTGAAAGAAAAGGAACCCAACCAATGACCCACCCAGGACACAAACAGATACAGTTCTTAAATGTTGCCTTCTGTGTCATCTGTTATATCCTCTGTACATGATCATTTATTACTGTTTAACCAGAACATTCTCACAGAACAAAAGCATGCCATACCTTTCACTTGCTGTTCCGGCCTTTTGTGTAAGGAACCCAACATGGATGAGCCGGGCGAGTGACTCGTTTTGTTCACGAGGACACTGTAAGCGGAATGTGTGTGAGGTCAGTAGGCCGCTTGGTGGACTCCAGGTGAAATGAGGTTGTGCAGGAAGGTGAGAGAGTAAGAGAATGAGTCCATTTCATTAGAAAAGAACCTGATACTCTGTGAATCCTCTGAATATCATCAAAACCAAAGCAAAAGACATACAGGAAAGATGGAATTTGAATCCATCAACTGATATCGCAGAGGCTCCTGTTTTGTGTCACGAAGAATTTACCATTGTCACAACATGCTCATTGGACCATTCCGCATCAAGATGGAAATATCAGTCAATTGTGTGAAGCCATACTCTAGTACTTTTTTCCCCTTTTAGAAGAAAAAAAAGGCGTTCTTAGTAAATAAGCATTTGGATAACACATTCCTGATATGGAGACTGAGATGTCTGAAGGTTGACTTACAAACAAATGCTTTCGCCCTGCCAAATATCACTCGTGTTTTTCCTGGCACAAACAGTTCAAGAGGTGGTTTTTCATTGCAGGTTACCAGCCGGTCTTGTCTGGTCAACAGGGGTTCCAAGGCCTAATGGGAGTGCAGCAGCCACCTCAGGGCCAGAGCGTCATGAGCAACCAGCCAGGAACTCCGGTGCAAAGTGTGATGGTCTCCTACCCAACAATGTCTTCTTATCAGGTGCACGTCAGCAGCTTGGAAATCCTGGGTTCTCAAGTAGCACTTGCCAAAGAAGAGGCTGTGGGTGCGTCCCCATGCCGGGTGGGTGCCAGGCACAGTCCGTGTGGATGGTTGACTTGAGTCCAGGTTTTAACAGACAAGTAGAAATGAGAAACGCATGCTTCTCTAACTATTGCGCCTTGTGTGTGCCCTGCCAAGGTGCGGTTCCATATACACTTTCTATTCGTGCAAGCAAGTTCTGCAGTCTAAACTTCTATTCATGAAGGCATCTGGGCATTCTGTGGAAGTTTTGCTTATGGGGAGAAAACCCTTATGACAGTTTTCCATTTATTTTTGTACACACTCCCAAAAAACTTTATTGTACCACACTTACGTGTTAAAAGGGATTTTAAAATGGCATCTCAGATTCATTCAAAGGGCACTTATGGGGCCTAACAACTACATTTTCGGGATTGCTTCCATATTGGGTATTTAAAAGGTGTCATGTGCTCTTGTGTGACTTGCAACTTCAAACCCACTGGGAGCGCCAGTGAAGCGTAGGGAGACACTCGAATCATTACCTTTAGCTGCACCGGGTAACCAGGTGCTCTGGCCCTAAAGAACCTATCTTCCGCCCTCCTGTCCTGACAGTCCTCACTCTCGCGATCAGTGTGTGCCTCTAGCTCCGTAGTAGATGTTCTCTAAAGCTGCAGCTGACAGTGAGCAGGTGCCTGGGACAAAGCCCCTCCTGCTCCAGCTGGCTCCAGGCCACTCTGCTTTCATAAAGCCAGAAGAGGACATGGCTTTCCAAACAGAGTGGGAGGTGCTGTCCCTGGAAGGTAACAAGAGAGAGGAGAGAACTAACACCTCTGCGCACGTACTGCACGCCAGACCCGTTCCAAGCATTGTACATCATCCTTGCAATCCTCTTGGTGGTACTTTGAAGTAGGTGATATTATGCAAATGACCTAGAGAATCAGAGAGGTAGAGTAACTTGTTCAATGTGAAACAGCTTATAAAAGGTAGAGCTGAGATTGGTGAACCCAAAAGCCTGACTATTTTTCACATCACAGTACCTCACTGGATACCCCAAAATGACCTCTTCACAAATGGTTCTCTCTTGTGTCTCCCCACAGGTGCCAATGACCCAGGGTTCTCAAGGACTGCCCCAGCAGTCATACCAACAGCCAATCATGCTGCCTAATCAGACAGGTCAAGGGTCACTCCCAGCCACTGGAATGCCTGTTTACTGTAACGTCACACCGCCGACCCCTCAGAACAACCTTCGGCTGATTGGCCCACACTGTCCCTCCAGCACTGTCCCCGTGATGTCGGCGAGCTGCAGGACAAACTGTGCGAGTATGAGCAACGCCGGGTGGCAGGTCAAATTCTGAGAGCTGTGGTGCATTTCCCCCGACATTACTCATGGCCTTTAAGGGGAAAGGAGCAAGGTGGGAAACTGGCTGAGGACTTACATCCACGTGATTGCTGCTGGTATTCTGTAAAAAACAAAGACTAATCCACACATTAGCTGGTCAATGGTGCATATTCCTGTCATGTCTGCTAGGTATGCCTTTAGAGCTTAGCTAGTGACATGAATTCATCAAGGTAAGATTTTCTCCTACCACTGAATACCACTGTGTAGACTACACTGTCCCTAATTTGGATTATTAGTTTTGTACTTTGTGTTGAGTTTGTGATGCTAAAAGTATTTAAAAATTATATACTGAACTCCTATTGTACCAAAGCTGTAATGGAAAAGCAAAGAATTGATGAATGGATGGAATAATTTATATACACTATAGAGTTTTCTTTTTTTAATGGATATATACTGTATTGTAGTGTTCAATCAAAATAAAACTATTTGACCTTATGGAGGAAGGTCATGTTTTTTACCACCAGTTTGGCTCACTCTCTCTTCCCATCTGTGTTTGCTCACACGTCACTGGATCCCCCTGCGCTCTGTTCATGAACGAGGCAGGGAGAAGATGTTCCAGAGGTAGGTGAACTGGGACCACATCTGGAGACCTGGTAGGCAAACACTGAACCATCTGTAAGTTCTTGTCCTAATACAACAGGGGTCCCGGAAGTTAGATAACATCTTTTTCTTCCATTCGTTGGCTTCACATTTTTGAAACATATACCTTGGTTTTAGTTTTAGGGCCATTGAATACATGTAGCTATTATTCCCCAGTTAAGAAAACCCGAATATCTTGATGACAGCAGTCCTATACCAAATCCTGTTCCACCTTAGTTTCAGTTCCGCCATCTACCTGGAAAACAAGATTTCTTTGTTTAAAGGGAAATTAGAAGGGGCCATGATCAAAGTCCACCAATTTTAGTGGGTCATGTGATGTCAAGTGCCATCGGTACTGATTCAGAGGCGCCAATGTTTGTCCAAGTAACTGAAAAAATAATAATTTAGCCTCAAAGATTCAGAACACTGGCAAAAGCTTTGAAAAGATGCTTGTTCTAGGTTCAAGCCAAGTAGATCGGTTGGTTAGAGCATTACCCCAACACACCAAGGCTGTGGGTTTGATCCCCAGTCAGGGCACACACAAGAATCAACCGATGAATGCATAAATAAGTAGAACAACAAAACAATGTTTCTTTATCTCCCTGCCCCTTCCTCTATCTAAAACTCAATAAATACAAATTTTAAAAAATAAAAGAGGTGTGTTTCCATCTAACCCCAACATGTTTAATCTCCTGTCGATTCTACAATTAAAATTGATTTGGCCAATAATCACAGAACTCTGGATGTCAGCTTTGACCCTCTGATAGATATTTAATCGGGACTAACCCTCAGAGTTTTTCTTTTACCTCCATAGCACAATGACTAGTCATTTGTATTTTATACTCTCTGCCTAAAAACTGTTACCAACAAGAGAGATATGCAAAATATATCTGGATAATTTCCACTGTTTTTCATATTACCACATTGTTTACATTAGATTGCTTTCATTTTCATGTTGTTTAGCTGGAGATAGAGTTAAGTAACTAGTTAAGAATGCTACCTAGCAGATTACCATTTTTTAAAATTGTTGAAAGTATTACAGATGTCCCCCTTTTATCCCCATTGACCCCTTTTTAACGTTATCATATTACTTTCCATTAAAAGGGAACTTTTAAACATACTCTCATTAACTTTATTCCTTGTGAAGTCTGTCCTATTTTCCCAAATCTCAGTCTACTGATTTCTTCAGTGTAAATAAGCCCTAACTGTGGAAAATGTTATAAAAAGAGGACGTTGCACCCTGGCTGGGTGGCTCAGTTGGCTGGAGTGTTGTCCCATATATCAAGACGTTGTGGGTTTGATTCCTGGTCAGGGCACATACCTAGGTTTCCGGTTCTGTCCCCGGTTAGGGTAGGTATGGGAGGCAACCAACTGATGTTCATTCTCTCTCGCTCTCTCTCACACATCAATAAGCATGGCCTCAGGTGATTTAAAAAATGAGGATGTTGCATTCTTTTTATTGAGCCATTAAACCAATAAGCTGAGTAATTATTAAACCAATAGCTGCTCTGAGAAGGAACCAAGTGTTTGCTAAATTAACACCTTTCCCTAGTGGAGGAATGGGGCTGACCAATATAGATTCATTTTTGAAATGCATTCTCTCTTTAGCCCTGTGATCTTGGCAGTGGTCCCAAACTCAAGGAGTCAAACGTGAGTGTGAATGTGTGTCTTCTTTTCATAGAATTCTGGGAAATTCTGATTTTTTTTTCCCTTAATGATCCTTAGAATCACTGAGCCTGACTGCCCATGGATTAGAGGTGGTAAAGATGGGCCTTCTTTCTCTTGGCCACTCTTCTCCAAGTGTGTCACACTCTTTCATATGTGGACATCTGGCTTTAAATTTAGACATCTTTTCGGGTAACATCTCGGGCTCATCTTCTCTACTTTCATTAAATGTTGATACCCAGCATTATTCCAAATCTTAAGTTTGCTTACTTTCTTTCACATCAGAATATTTGCAATGGGTGAGTAAAGAGTTTTGTTAATGAAGCATTTTGAGAATTTAATTTATTGTTAGGTCTCTCCATTTTGTCATGATGGTTAATAATTTTATTATAATCACATTTTGCAATTACATGCTTTTCAGTTTATAAGCTTATATAGAGATACATGGGTACATATATGGAAATGTATAGATAGAGTCATTCCTAATAATCCTCTTTATACTTCTAAGTGAGTATAAAGGATAACAAGGGAATTATTCATTTATTCAACAGACATTTCTGCATATTTGATTATATCCAAATAATGTGCCACCATTCAAAACAAGTACAAATAAATTGAAAGCACTCAGTTTTATTTCTTGTAAACTTTATCATACACTTGGTTATTCTGTGATAGTTGGAACCAAATGTTCTAACTAGGATACCAAGGAATTTCAGCTATGATTCTTTGGTTGTTTTAACATAGTTCCACAGGACGCGGGGTGAGGGTAGGAGAGTGTGTTACATCACATTATGGAAATGGAACTACGTAATTAAGTATAAGTATGGATTCAGAATAAAGTTATAAATCATCCTAACAAAATAAGTGGGGTACATGTGAGCCAGAGAAGCTTTACAAGAGAGATCTGGAGGACAAAGCAAACACAACCGGGGAAGAAAGCATGCTGCAGCAGTCATGGCTTTGCGATCTAATAAATGCGTACTTAGGCCCTGCTTCCGCTGTGGCCAGCAGCTGGAGTGTGGTGGATGCCTTCTCATTCCTGTCCTCCTGCTAACCTGTATTCCGTATGCACAGGTACATCCTATGGGTATACGTGCAGGCCCATCCCTCACCTGTGCCCTGGCACCATCACAACCAACTTGAGCATTTACAGACCAAAAAGAAAGTATTGCAAATACCTCACCGTAAAGGTGGAATTAAAACAAATCATTTGGGTTTTGCATCTAAGTAATATCTTAGAATAGCAGTTTCTCAATTATTTCCATGGACGACTCCTTTGCTGAGATACTTACAGTTATTATATGAAAAAGACCACAGACAGTCGTCACTGAGAGACATGGTTAATGAAGGTTCAGCAATCTTTTTCAAAACTTTCTGATTGCTGCAGCCTTTACCCTGTCACTTTATATCATGAACTTCCAAGAGGGAGAATATAACGTGTACAGTTCCTCAGACTTAACACAATATCCATTCATCACAATCTAAAAGACTAATATTATGAAGAACATATATTTTTTAAAATTATGCAAGAGAGTCCTAAAAGAAGAGCACACATATAGTTACTTTATTTCTATAGAAAGCAGGTTATATGTCAAAATGTAACGTCACAACCCTACTTCCGGCTATGATAGCTTTTGGTGACTGATTGACTTTGTGAGCCGGGAAGGTAATGCCACATTGCCAATATTTCTGGATCTTTTTATTTCAAAATTCTTAACATTAAAGGACTTGATATTTATATACCTAAAATTATAGTAATAAGCATACAGATATAGAGACATAAGAATCTCCAATGATCCTGTACACCTCTGTGTGGGTAGGAAAGGGACAAGAGAGACTTAACATATCCGTTTATTGCGCACTTTCTAATTCCAAGACCTTGAGCCCCTGCACTCAGGGAGCTTATGAGTTTTCAGAATTAATTATACCCCTCTATAATGACTAAAAAATATAGAAAATCAATCCCAGTTCTCATGTGGAAATACATGTAAAGATAGGTATTTTGAGAAGGAGCAGATGACTTTTGACTGTGGTTGTCTGAGGCTTTTGACCTCATAGATTAAATGTGGGCATGCAGACATGAGGGTGGGTAAAGTCCAATCCCAGCCAAGAGAAATGCCTGAAAGAAACACAGAAAACATGAACATTATGATTCAGGTTGACTGGTGTAAGAGGTGACTGTATAGAAGGGGCAGAATGACTTCTTGGAAATTCACAATGGGCCTAGTTGGCATGACCTTGAAAGCCAAAGAGTGAACAGGCAAAGAGGAGCTTTTGAAGATTTTTGAGTGAAAGGTAATATAATCTCAGCTATGGTTTATAAAGAACCATGGGCCTCAAGAAGTAGGGTGGATGAGCGTTGAAAAGGCTCTTTGTTCAGAAGCTAGAGATGAACACAATGATAGTTAAGTTCTGGCTCTGAGCTACAGCTACAGCGTCGTGGGGATAAGAGTGAGTGCCAGCTCTTGACTCTTAACACTTAGCAATTCTGTTGCATGCACAGCAAAGCTTTAGCAGGTGTGTACATCTTATTTTTGCCTCTTGGAGAGAGACTTCTGCATGGAAGTGCCCAATCTTTAGCTGCATTACAAGGCACAGTTATATAACTTGTCAGGGAGAAGCAAACGAAGACTGAGCTGAAACTGTAGACAGCACAGGAGAGCTGACAACTCTCCATCACCATCTAATTGGTAGCAATACACAATACAAAGTGAAATCTGATATCAATGTTCTATCTCTCCTTCTTTTAAAAACTGCTGAGAATACACTCATTATCGCTGAGAAAAAAAAAAAAGTTGCATTCTATACCCTATGGATGCTACTTGTGCACAAGACCAAAAATCCTTGCTTCTTCCCATGTGATTTTTCCCCAAGCCCTCTTTACTAAGAAAAGTTGTTCTCTTTCGAGCTTAGAGATTATTTTTCTATAGTTCCCAGCTTTAGTATTTGTTTCAAGTTCCTATCTTGATCACGTGCTTTCTGTAGGGATTTGTGATCTCCAATCCTCTCCGCAAAACGATTTGCCACGATTTTGTGATATCAGTGGCAAGAGCTTCTCTCTCTTTGAGCTGGGTTCGCTGCACAGTGGGGGTGAGAGGCATTTG